AGAATCCAAATGTTTGTTCAATTTGATTCACGAGCATCTGTCATATCTCCCATGTATAACATTAGCGAATGCAGTAAAGAAGCGGTATCTACAATGGGGCATTCAATAAATTCCGTGCATGTATTTATCTTACAATAGTTAACAGTAAACTTTTTTTGTTAACAATAACCATTCACCAACGACTTTCTCTTATCATCGCAAATAAATACTTGCTTCGTTCCCACGTCACGCCTCGTAAAATCGCATTGCCGCGTGCCGCCCGTACCTCCCATGTTAAATCGATAACGCAAAACGATGCTGTCAACGTAATTCAGTTTCACTCGAATTTTTCGATTCTCCGCCGGCAGGCCGCCCTCCCAAACGAGATTACGAATTTAATTGGACCTGTTATTTGTCGTAACATCGACGACCGTTGCAAACCAGAAAAAGGATGCATTAAAATCGAATAATCCCCTATCTGGAGCTCCGCGAACCGTGTGTCTCGTCTCTTCTTCCATTTTGTTTTTCCCGTCGACAGGGTTTCCATTTTGTCAAAATCCGTTGAAGCATCGTGGTATGAGAAAGCACCGGTCATTCGTGTTCCGTCGTGCAACTCCATATTTTTTACAGTGGCTGATACTCCATCAGGGAACTAACAATAAAAGCGGCAATTATACAGGGTAAGGAAACAACTTTGACCACCTGGAATATTTTTGTTATTTATACAGATATGAGAAAACTTTATTTACTATAGTTGTATGACGCCGAGGGGGTTATAATATAGCGGTAACAATTTGTTTGTGAATGAAAGGTTTTCGGAGATTTCAAGGTCGTATCACTTCTTTTCAAACGGTATAGGTACCTACTATACTTTATTGTTTCCTGACCTGTGCGCAAAATCATTTGGTGTTACGTAATGAAGTAAAAGGATGACTCTTGTGTCTTAGGATATGTTCAAAGTGGTGTCCGTTTGCATATCAACGTAACATTGCAATTGTCGAATTGTTGAAGCCTCTTATAACATAAGGATCGTTGTTTTATTCCTTTAGTCGCTGTCAAATGACATTAAACTTACAGGTCGTTGAAATCATCTATACGTGCAATATTCTACTAGGGATAGAAAAGTATAAAATACCGTTTAAGGAAATAGAGATGATCTAGAAGTATCCGAAAACCCTCTGCCCTGAAAAAATTATAGCCAAAAATTATAATTTTTTCTTAGGAAATTAGAAATTTTCCTCCACATTATCATTCGGTGAAACCCTAGAGGAGTTCCATCCCCTTCAGAGCACAACTAATTAAATTACGTAATTAGAAAACACCTGCGTTTTCAACAGTGTCCAATGACGGAAAAGTGCGCTTCTTCATTGCGCTTTGACAATTGTTGTAAGATCAATCAACCTCGACACGCGAACCGAGTCACATTAATTAAATCATTCTTTCTTAGACCGTTCAGTCAATGTTGAAGATGTGGATTCTTACGGGCAAGTGTGACACTCATACACTTTACATCTTCGATTCTCGAAAGTGTAGAGTTACACTCCACTAGTTTGACTGGAAATAAGTCGATATCTACATTATTCCACTTTTCTTTGAACAGTTGAAGGTGGTAGTCACAATACAAACACACGTACACTGTACTATGCTTTCACCAGCACTGTAGAGAGCCATCTAGACGATTCTAGTATCGCTGGAATGTTGTGTTCTGGGTGGTGGGGGTAAACAGTGGATTCAATAAGTAAACTTTCAACCCAGTCGTTTGACTGGATTGCTTATTGTAATGACGGCGCAGTATTGGAATGAAAATACTGTTTACATTAGTGCAGTTACAATCCACTACTGGATTGGAATGCTACTTAATCCATTAAAGTTAAGTCTTGAAGTAAGAGTTCTAGCCCGTATTTAGACCATTCTTCTACGACAAAATAATTCGTGAAGCTGATCGATCAAGCCTTGCGCGATTAATCTCTACTGCGAGATGCGAAAGGGCAATTTCTCGGACTCCGTCTTGTATCTAAGGTCGACGTGGAAAAGGATAACGAGGTTAGACCCGCGGCACATGGGAGCCGCAGGGAGGTTCGAGTTAGTGGTGGGCGATTGATGAGGTGGCTATGAAAACGAATAAAATCGTGAGGCCGCTGCAGCAACCCCAGGACCAAGGTCATAAATCGGCAAGTAGACCGATTAATTGGCTTCAGAACCGGCGTGTGTACGTCGACCCGTGTGACCGCTGATCGTACATACGTGTGTACTCGTATGAACTTTTGTTCCCGGCGCTGCCGCTTCGTTGCTGGTCCGTGCCGTGCCGCGGCACGATTCAGTGCGGGCTGACCGGGCTCCGGCCAATTTGCAGTAACTCGGCTTTCGGTCAGTGACTGACTAAAACTGGAAATTTGCGGTTGCAGCAAGAAAATATACGGGATCCATGGTCCAGCTGTGCGGTGCTCTGGATCTGAGATTCAATCGGGCTACGGCGTACGACCGTACCGTTTCTGATTTGTGCGCCCGCGACCGAATGCCGGAAACGCGGAACCAGGATCGCTTTGAATCGCCAGCAATTTTTCGACCAATAAGATATACGCACGTGTACATCGTTGTCTGAAACTCCGGCCAAATTCGGTTAAATGGTTGCTCGCACTACGAAAATCGAACTCATAACTTTTTCGTCGAAAATAAACTCTGTGTGAATCTTAACATTTTTACCTCTAAGATGTTCGATAACGTGCTTCTGTTATACACTTGTTGCTTATTATTACGACAAAGAGTGAACTAACTGCAATCTTTTTCACTTTCGATGAAAAATATTATACAGGATTTTTTGCCTTAAAATACTGATTAAATTGTGCCGTTACGGATTTTTTGTTTTAATTTTAATTTTTTGTAAATCCATTTTGAGAATTTATGGAGTATTAGTTTCCAAAGGGCCGTCTAGATCTACGACAATTGTCAGCGGTCACGGGTCACAGGACACGAACGCTGTTTTTCTGTTTTCCGTTATAGTGGAAAACAAACTTACAGAGCCGAGAATTTTATCTCGGAAATTATTTATCGTATCGAGTGCATTCTTCGATTATTTTAATATAGAAGATCCCGCCTGTTGAAATAATATTTTTGTAAACGTAAAATCATTTTTATAACGTGGAAAATTATAAATAAATTTTAATTTTTAGTAATAAGAGAGGGGACACAACAATATGCACAGTAAATAAATTAATAATATGCACAGTAAATAAATTGATGGTTGTCGAATGCCTGCAACAAACAATGGGTTAGTAACAAGAGAAAGGACGAGTATGAGACGCGCGCCCACCCTCCGCGACGGCTCACGAGAAAGTGAGGAAGCTAACACCGTTATGCATTGGGCGTACGCAGGTTTGTTCGTGTTGAATTGTTTTTGCCGGCTTCAACGACCTTCCTTGAACGACCCAAACACCGGATGGTACAGCCAGGTACGGCCATGGTACACGGCGTACACGGCTAGGTCAATAAACTGTGTGACGCAACGTCACTAGCGCGTTGGACCGACCGAGAGCACCGATACCGCGGCACGCTCTACCGTACTCTCTCGCTCGCACACCTCCCCCCATAGACCACCGAAATTCCTTCGCACGCGTCAACACCGACGGAGAGCACCGATACCGCGGCTCGCTCTCCCGTTTTCGCTCGCTCCCGTTCGACCGCTCCGGCCATCTTCGGCACCCTTCGGCACGCGTCGGCACCGACGGAGAGCACCGATACCGCCGCTCGCTCTACCGCTTTCGTTTATTTATGATGTTCCTATTCCCCAAATAAATATCGTTTTTAACTAATTTGTTTAAGCGACATGTTCCTTTTAAAGATTTAGCTCTCCAGTATAAATCCCTAAGACCGTTATTTATTATTCATTTCATATCGTTAAATACGATTTTTCTCACAGGATACCGATTTCTATTACAGTATCACAAAATAATTGCAAATATGAAACTTCTTTACCTATTCTTAAACATTCTAATTTCATAGCCCTAAACTGGGTACCTAAAGTATTTCATTGAATTTGTGTAAAGGATTTTACTACTTCCTAAAAGACTCCGTGTGATATTTGATAGCCTAAAAAACAGTGTGCCGATACAGGGTTTCGATTTATTTACGAAACTAATCTGACCAGTTGCTGCATTCTTTGACATTAATTTTCAAGCAAAATAAATCTTCTGTATTTCACTTAATTTGAGAGACACGTAGCATAGTGACCAGCTCACTTTTGTCAATTGCGTGAAGCATGCTGTATCAAAAATAATACAGGACACTTTAAATTACAATAAAAACACTCGTATCCGAATAATAGTATATCTTGCGGTTATTATTGAGAACATGGTTTTCAGAACCGATTTCAATGACCTTGAAATATGTTGTCAAGGCCACCATTCTGAACAAGTTTTCCTTATATGTACATATAATAGGCGGTCTCTCTTAGGTTCCGAGATATTTGCGAAAATCTGAAAATACTGTTCAAAGCATTATACTGATTTGAGTATACAAAATTAGTGAAATCAGTTAAGTGTGATTTTTAAGTTCACCCGTTGTTTGCCGGCCGTTGTGATGTGTTTATAGAAACAGTAGATAAGCGGTCGTCCGATACTGATGCATATGTTGCCATGAACGAGCACAAATAGGCGAAATTCAATGGACTGGTGAGAGAAGTTTTTCGCATATACCTCGAGAACTAAGAGAAACCGCCTATTATATCTATCGGGAAAAGTTGTTCAGAATGATGACCTTGACAACATATTTGAAGGCCATTGAAATCGGTGCTGAGGACCATATTCTTAATGATTACCAAACATTTCTGTAATATAGCTTTCAAAAAGCTATGGGATCAATTTATAATTGAAAAGTAAGTTAAAGGAAAATAGTTATTTAATAAAAAATTCCTTTATTCGACCACATATGTGTTCCTATTAGTTCGAATACAGGAGGCTCTACTGTATGTATTTGTTTCACGTTATAGGCTTACATAGCAACACAATTGTTTTGCATTCTTTCAGTTCCTATATTAGACGTGTCGGCGGTGGCTGGCTTCAAAGCTGAAATACCTTGCAACATTGATCCTCCAACGAAAAGCGAGGTGGTGAGCATGGTTTTTTGGTACAAAGGCGAAAGCGATGGCGAACCGGTATACAGCGTGGACGCTCGCGGCAGATCGATAGCTCAGGCGAAGTTCTGGTCAGATTCATACGTATTCGATGAAAGGGCAACTATGAGGACAAACGTGAATCCAGTGAAATTGGTGATCGATCCCTTGGAAGCGAACGACGCGGGTGTGTACAGGTGCCGGGTGGACTACAAAAATAGTCCAACAAGAAACCAGATGGTTAACCTCACTGTGATAGGTGAGTGTACTTTTCTTGGTAATCAATAACTGTGTTATCTAATAGTAACGAATGTAAGCATATATTATTAGAAACATTTTGAAACTATATAGTCTAATCCCATCACTTTATTTACCTGAAATGGCTTTGATATTTTGGAAAATATGATGTTGAATTTATTGTGCTTAATGGTCTTGAGGCTCTCGTGAAATAGTAATACATAGGTTATTCTATACTTTTTGTCGTATGGCCCTGGTAAAAAGGTTAGAAACTTTTCCTTCATACCATTGAACCCGACCCTTTTCAGGAATAGACCCTAAGTCCTCTGAGTAACACGTCAGTTTACTGTGAGAAATCGTAGTTGAAATTACCCAGAATAGAATTAGCTATCCTTAGGCGGTCGTCTCAACCCAATGAACGACTCGGCCCGCGATAAACTCGCATCACATAATTCGCATTTACTATTCATTTATTAATATCTTACTTAAAAGTTCGTTAATATCTTACTAAAAACCTCGAGAATTATTCATTTGAAAGAATAATTTTTTCAGTATCCTTCATTGTCTAGAACTTTACGATAAGAAACTTATCTTTCCGTTAAAAACAAGCGATCTTGATCATCAGACATCCGTTGTACGTACACTCGTAAAAATATGTTATGTTACGTGCCTTTGAAGCTAAGAAACCTTATAACCTTGTTTTTTTCTTGTTGTATAAAGGAACAGAGATAAATCAAGTGCAGGAAATACACCACTCTGTATTGTGCTAAAACACCTTTTTATTTTCACTGAACAATTGCAGAACAAATGCGGTTGGCTATATTATAAGTTGCATTTATAACTTGATTTACATGTACATATATTTGGATGTTTATTTATTAATTGGAATATTGTCGTATTAGTATATTAGATCGGAATGAATCAGCAACCCCGAAAACCTAAAAGGTTCATGTTTGAAAAAAATTAGTTTACTTTATTAATTTTGGCCAGTTTTTCGGGCCTCCCAGTCCACAGTGGGGTGGTCTGAAGTTCGTGAAAATAAAAAAATTCTAGTCAGGAATAATTGATATTAATCCTCACAATAGATTGAATTTTTTCCTTGTCGTGTTATACCTTTCAAGAAAAGTTGATTTTAAAAATAAGTATTAAAATTAAAAGATAAATACTGTATTGCATAGAATATCCTTACCACAAATTTCAATCATCTGAAATTTCAGAGTAGTTCTGTACAACGTGTACCCACTATTTGAACTCCTTAACATAAAAGGAAAATTTCTTCATTTCTTATCAAATTATCTTATCTTTATCAAATTATTGTCAATGGATTAATTAAATTCAGTCAATCTTAAAATGTATTGTGATTTCGACTAGGATTTTTTTGTTGTTGGTTTAAATGTCAGCAGACAATTAAGTATAACTCTCTTGAAAGTCGAAGGATATGGTAAGTGATAAAGATAACAAATATGTAAACTAATGTAGATCGCGCTGTAATGAATTTCTGGGAAAGATTCTCAAATACTCTACTAGATATTGTGAAATGTCCCGTTGAATCTACCAGCTTAAAATTATCAACGCCTGGTAGTCATTCGTTTCAGAATTTTGGCATACAATACCTTCATTGTGAAACAATTTGAACACGACTTCTACTGCAAGATGTCCCAGAGGACATTTTTTATCTGAAACAAGACTTTTAAGAGTTTTAAGTATCGTATCATATCCGAAGCGATTCGAGGTTATCAAGTTAGCTGAGACTTGAGACACCCTGTATACTCAATACGGCTCAAAGTGCTTCAGAACTTCTCACTAATTGTAAAGACCTTTTTCTCTTCTTAAAGTGATGCAGAGTAATAAAACAGCTACAATGAATATGTATGGTTAATGAATTTTTCGTGAAAAGTAGGATACAGCAGCGAAATGCTTGAAAAGAGTTTTAAAACGCTCCTACTATACATGACTCACATAAATTCATTTTCATGACAGTGCCACCAGACAAGCCTGTGATTTATACCGGCGCTGCTAGAAGTTTGGCTAAGATACTGCAGCCCTTCAACGAGGGTAGCGACTTGTCCTTACTGTGCGAAGTAATAGGGGGTTCACCACCGCCGAAGGTCACATGGTACATCGACGGGGAAATACTGGACGATACGTACACGCTGGAACACGGGGACAATACGATAAATCGGCTTGGTGTCACGAAAGTGACTAGGGACTTCCTCAGGGCTAGGCTAATTTGCCGGGCCACCAATACGCAACTCATCTCTCCATTGACAGCCGAGGTCATTTTAGATGTTAACTGTAAGTAAGAAGCTGGTTCAGTTTATTTACTGCATCCTCAAATAGTTTAGTTTTGTTAAAAGTAATGTATTGACACTATGACAACCTGCTAGTTTCATGAGTAACTTTCACTAAAGGCCGAGCACTTTTGTCAAGAATTAACAAAATATCTTGGTATGCATGTACAAAAATTCAGTAACTTTGTTTGTCTGAAAACTGCTAGTTGACACTCATTTGGCATTCGTATGTGATAACCCGTTAAATTGGGGCAGACAAAATAAAGATGACAATAATGATGCTGTTGAAATCATTGCGTTTTGTCTTCAGACATATTTAAAAGTTGATCCATATGAAATTAGTGGTGAAATATTTTTAATAAATAATTTAAAGCTGGACGAATTATTCTTATGAATCATAACTTAGGTAAATTTACGACATGACTTCCTGAAAACCATAAATTCTATGTCGAACTCTATTTCTGATTACAATAATACTTGCTTGTTGGGATAAAATTGTCTTTTGTAATGTGTAATGAGCATACTATCATAGACAACGATATATTCTTGCCCATTTTTAAAACTTTCATCCATGCCCTGAAGTGGTCAATAATTTTTATTTCATTTTATTTATTTTTTAATTTCGCAAAGTTTACTTTTTGCCGGAGAATACGTTAAATAGGACCTACTAGCTTTTTAATATTTTTCTGATGTGGTACAAATGTAGAATGTGTTTCAAATAGAACAATACTCTTAAACTCACGCAAAAATAACCCTTCAATTGCAGTGAAACCGTTGGTAGTAAATATTACGAACAAGGAAATACATTTGTCGGCACTAAAAACGTACGAAATCGAATGCGTCAGTTCTGGCTCTAGGCCAGAGGCAGTGATCACCTGGTGGAAAGGCAGCCATCAGGTGAAAGATATGGCCAGAAATGTGAGTATAATACTTTTGAATCTGCAGTCCTTGTGTGTGATTATTGAGGTGTGCGTTTGAAGTGCCCACGAGCTTAGATTCTGAGTTCTTCGCAGTTTGCAGATAGTCCAAACATTACGAGAAGTGTGTTGAGTTATGTACCGACTATGGAGGACGACGGAAAGGATTTGACATGTCGGGCTGAGAATTCAGTTGTACCTGATAGCGCATTAGAAGACAGATGGCGTCTGCAAGTCCATTGTGAGTGTTGCAACGTTATTTCCTTGTTAATTTAAATCAAACTCTCTAGTTTGAAATAAATATCGTTACTGTCTTCCATTAGAAAATCACGTGAAGTTTGTTTTGTTTTTAGAAATCGACATATTTTACACTTCCGTCTGAACCTAAATAATAAATCATTACAATACTCTTTTAGCTGTCGTGCACACTAAATGCACACCCGTTCTTCTATTTTGCATGTTTCATTTATTCTTCTAGGTTATTTAACAAGTTAATATTCTAATAATTTTAAAAAGTTGGTCTTTTTTTCAATTTGAAAAATTTAGTATATTTTCATAATACAATATAGGGTTTCTAAACACTAACTTAATGTAAGATAAATACTAGACTCGTATACACACGGTGAAGGCTCGACATCCTAAGTACAAAAAGCTGAGTTTCGCTTAATTCCAAGTTCACGTCAAACATTATGCACTTAAAGTATGCAGGAAACTGTATTCATAACACAGTATTAAACAGAGATTATTTAGATTCTTTCATGTAAATACTTTATTTACTCTTTAATGTTTTGTATAAATTGAATAGTCACTTTGAGCAATAAAAGAAAAAGAATCAATTGATCGAATTCATTAATTGATGTCGAGAGATGAATATGTCACAGCAACAGTACACATGAACAACTATTTTAAAATTAGACGTAAAGCTTACATACATATGCAGAACAGCAACCTGAGACATCTTTGGAACATTTGCATTGTTATTCAAATGACAAATTCTAATTTGCTCATAATGCTGTAATGACATCTCAATCATTTCTGCCAATCATGCTATTCACTTGACATTAAAGAGATTCTACAGTATTTTTGTTCCAGGTACAGTATCTATTGCACAACATTATAACAACTTGACGACAATAATTCTTTGAAGATCCATTTCGTAAGTATTTTCTCTATTAATTAACAAAGTACATGGATTTTATTAAAATCATTAATATTTAAAAAAATAACGTTTAAGGAAATCCAGACGCTTGCTCGATTAATATAAAAAATGCTAAACAAATTAATCTTCAAAGAATTATGAAGCTCAAGTTGTTATAGCTTCGTCCGGTACGGTATATTCACTGAACCTACTATATTTAGATTCACCAATAGTGACAATCAAGCTAGGTTCGAGTTTAAGGGCAAACCATATAAACGAAGGCGACGATGTCTATTTCGAATGCGACGTTCAAGCCAATCCGAAGGCATACAAGCTTGCATGGTTCAAGGATGGCAAAGAATTGCATCAGAACGCGATCGCTGGAATTTTTCTTCCCAGCGGGCAATCTCTCGTTTTGCAAAACGTGACTAGAAATTCCGCCGGCGAATATTCTTGCACGGCGACCAATATCGAAGGAAAATCCGCCAGCAGACCAGTGAAACTCGAGATAATGTGTGAGTAACGAATATTCTAAATTTTCTATCAATTTTACATAAATGTAGGTATATTATTCAAGCACTAGATACCGCAACAAGAACATGAAAAAACATAACAACTGTTACGATATCTTTAAAACATAATTAATTTACATAGTCTAAAGTGAACTAAATGAAAGTAAATTACATTCTTCGTAGACAGGAAAGAAACAACTCTTTCATTCGTCATTTTCCTATAACAGAACTGTTTAAAAAATTCTAATGCAAATAAGAAATCTATTAAGAACCTTACACATACTTCATAATCTTGAATTGGCTTTCAAGTTAATATCTGCCCTCTTCAAATTCTTTCTGCACAATCAGAGAAAAAGGTCATGACATGTTTCGTTAGCAATACACGAAATGTTTTTATCTCGTCCAAAGGATTTTATATTTTCGAATACAATTCGAAAGATCAACATTATAAAAAATGATAATTTAAATTTTTAACCACGTTTCTAAGTGAACTGTTATATTATTGAATATCGAACGGGAGGTGAAAACAAAAATTGAAAATTCGTTTCGGATCAGATGTTACATTGGGTTTGCAGTTCAAGCCGTTTCCTGTCGCATTTACAGACGCACCGATCTGCAAGGACGGCTCTTCCACTCAAGTGGTCGGCGCCTTAAAGCACGAGACGATATCGCTGGTCTGCGGAGTACAATCGAAACCGCCACCGACGACTTTTCACTGGACGTTCAACAATTCGGGGGAACTGATGAGCGTGCCGTCCAATAGATTCACGCAGGTGAAGCCTCTGACTCGGATCACAAGCCATTGGCATGGGTCCAGACTAAATTACACGCCGGAGAATGACATGGACTACGGGACGGTCGCCTGCTGGGCCAAAAACCGGATAGGGGTGCAAAAGACGCCCTGTCTTTTTCAGATCATCGTGGCCGGGAAGCCGTATCCCCTTCAGAACTGCACGGCTCTACAGTCAACCGGACCCTATGCGAATCGAATGGGTAAGCGTCACTCAAAACTGCCTACACCACGAAAACCCTCCTTCTGACATAAATTGCACCAACTATACCCTTATCGTTGGAACATCATCGAGAATAACGGTGTACGGTCGATACGTATATCACGTTCAACAGCTTGTTTCCTGTTGTGACCTACGAAAAGTGGTGATCAATCGCGCCTGAAAACGGTCGTGAAATTAGGCGCATTAGAGCCAGGTCTCTTTACTCGAAATGACCCATTAAACGATAGATTACTATTACTTGTTCCGTTTTCTTTGTGATGAAATTATTTTAATTTACGGTTTATCGAGATTTTCTTTGCGTTATTATGTATCTTTTTCTTATAAATGTCATAGTTACTAATTATAGAGCATCGATACTGTTTCAAAATAGCAGAGAGAAGGACGGTTAAAACGATTTAAATTTTCATCATTGCACTGAACTGGCATTCTTTCATTTCGGATTTCAAGTAGGAGAAGAACAAATGTGGTTACACGGAGTCAGATCGAGTGAAGATAACTCGATAGCAATAAAACTGCAAGACGCTCTTTAACACTAGGTTTACGGGACACGTCATTTTGACGCATTTCGAATGCTTTCTAACCTCGAAATTCTCTATGTGGTATACCTATCTCTATAGCTATGCATTAATTTCAGAGATTATAAATTATGTATTATATAAAATAAGTTGTTTTTTAAAGAAAATCTGCATATATTCATGGCCGTCACATTTAACTTGGCGTTACGGTCTTATTTTATTTTATTGATGGGGAATTCAACTTTGGTTACAAAGATGGCGAAAGTTATAGTAAAGAAGGGAAGCTATTGTGAGTGAGAGATCTTGTAGAAATTGCTCAATATTAACCCTTTTAGTCCTATGGATGCATATGTGCGTTCGGCGAAAGTCATCGCTGTGTGTAATAATTTATGCTCAAAAATAGCTCTGCTGCATTATTCAATTTGGCGTCACTGAGGAATTACAATTATAACTTACAATTAATTACGCCACATATCAATCAACAGAGTCCATCGATCCATAGCGGTAACTTAAGCGAAAAAGTTTTCCGTCCTCAGCGATTACGACGACAAGCAACGTGCCGTTCACACAAATTTTAACGAAAACCTGCCATCATTTTTGCATATACTATGCATATACTATATGTATATAGTTATTGACTCGTGGAGCTAATAGTTTCGATTGTCTCAATTTCCGCCATTTCGAAGCATATGAATGCACCGTCATCCAACGAGCTCTCTCAAATTTGCTTCGCTTTTTTGTACGAAACAGGTCTTGAGGATTTTAAAGCCACCGACTCGCGGGACGCAGATTGGTTGATCGTCAGATGCTCTGAGGGATTCGATGGCGGTCTGCCCTTGACTAATTACGAGCTCGAAGTCTACAGCGAAGAGAACGTTTATCATGTCAACACCGTCTACTTGAACCACACAGAGAGATCCAGCTCATCAGGTCCGGTTTTCGAGGTTCCTGGTCTGGAGCCTGGTCGTAACTACAGACTTCATTTGTACGCTGTCAATGCTAAGGGACGAAGCGATCCTGTCGTCCTCGAGCCGGTCACGCTCAAAGGAGTCGCCATGTACACTACCGATGGTGAGTTTCTTTTTAAAATACATTCTTGTCACTTCAAAGAAGATCGTGCTTGATGGAAAACCGTATTCAGTCACGCATCTTCCACGTTCTACGCATGTAAAAATTTATATACAGCATAATTATGCATGTGTAAATAAGTTTCATTAACATTATACTAAACAAAGGTGGGTAAATTTAGTAGAGAAACCTTGAGCAAAGTGAAAGATAAGTCACGAAGTAAATAAGTCGGGGAAAATGAAATATTCTTATTGAATTCAAATTTAGAAAGAATACTACTTTTCTCAATACTGATCATTCTAAAGTTAAACAAAAAAATTATAAACTGATTGCAGACTTTGAAACCAAACTTTCTATACGTAAGGGAAAAATGAAATATTTCCTTTTGTCTCTTTCACTTTGCGAACGAGTTCAATGACAAACAGTATATAAATTTGATACACGATTTACAGGTTAAATTAGTTCTTACTATGTATAAATATGTATGTATTCATATATTTGTTCCCTAAGGGATATACGGTTACATACTTTCTTTTTTACATTGTCTCCTCTGTCTACTTTCCACTGTTCCTTATCTAATCTTATTCTATCTGTTTATATTTACACTTATTCTCATCTTATTCTATATATTTATTTACACGTACTCTTTACTTATTCCATTTCTCTCTCTCACTCATTCCATTCATTCATTCATTCTCTCTTCATTCCTTTGACTTCCCCCTTCTCCTTCACCTCTTCCTTTTATCTCAGTTTCCCTATTTTCCTCCTCTTTTATACTTTTCTCTAATCTCTTCATCCACTTCTCTCCCCTACCTCTTTCGTCCAATATTCCTTATACGCTTTTGCTTCTTTATTTTTCCTCTTTCTCTCGCCCTACACATCTGTCTAACACGTATTCCCACGATTCCATTCCCTTTCCACCTATTCTGCACCTCCTCTCTTCTTCCTATTGCCAGTACCACCCTTCTCTTATCTCATTCCCTAACCTAAACCTCGCTTCTGTATCTTTCCTCATTCCATCCTGCTGTTAGGTACCACGGTATTTCATTAGTCCTTGTTACTATGTATAAATAAAGTCAATTTAACATATTGTTAATTTAATTGTTAAAATCATTGTCACGTAAACATCGTTGCCTCGCGGAAATCTTTGCTGATATTGAATCTCCTACTTGATATTACACACAGTAAATTTTCAAGAAACAAGGTGAAATTATTCGTTAATTAATATTAGGTTTAGAGCCAATAAAGGTCGTACTGTTTTACTCAGAATTAACACTCTTCGATATTTTGGCATACAAAATATAGCAATCACTTTAAAATAACGAAATTGACCTTGAAATCTCCGAAACGCCTACACCTATAAAAATTTATATGCACTACATAATGTATCCCTCCAAACCATGCAACTTTTGTGTAAAAACTTTTATCTTACAATACATACTGTAGAAGTTATTTAAGGTGTGCAAGTTGCGTGGACCACCCTGCCTATACATATACACTAATTATTCTCTGTACTAAATTTGTAACACTGTTCATAAATATGAAACGTATCGTAACCAGGGCGGATGAATAAATGTAATAGATGTTGCATATTTTGTCGGAACAAGGGCAGTGTTTGAATACATGTATAATGAAAGTGTAAGCATAGGAAGCAGACTTAATTAACGGTTTCAGTTTGCTCAGTTGGAATTGTATTGGGCCTATAAGAAATCCTCTTAATTCCTGACTAATTCTTTTCAACTGAAGTTATTTTTGGTAGCTTAACATACTACCTGTGACAAAACGGATACTTGCGTGATTTTGTTCAAGAAACCTAATATGAATTAATTAATATTAATAAAGGCTTACGTTACAACTCAGAAAATGATTTACGTTTGGCGTTTATGTATAAGAAAATTGCACGTAACATTAAAATGAAGAAATTTCTATTCATTCTAATAGGTACATGCATTATTTGTAAAATAGTGTTCGTGTCGTGTTTACTAAGTCTCTATGATTTGCATTTTATCCTGTAATTTCTAATCAGGAAAAAATCAATTACTGTATACGTACATAGATATATCCTCAAAGAAAATTAATTTATTAAAGTCAAAAGTAACAAGAGTTCGAACAGCAATCAGAATTGCCAGATAACAAATTCTTTATTTGATAAATAATTCTAGTTCTATGCTTAAATTTTACATATTTATTATAAGATGCTGCATAGGTTAGTCCAGAGTCTAAGTCGAATTGTGCAAATATTTTAGCAATTTTTGTAAGTTCTCTCGCCGACTAGAATACAAAGAGATTAACGAAATCTACCTGTAATTTTTAAGATTACATATAATCTTACGGTAAATTCTTTAATACATTTTCGTCTATGCAAAATCGTGTGAACAGTAATAAAACAGTATTCGTTATTTTATTTACGCCCTGTACCTATTGTATTCATATTAATGCATTATTTAGGTTCGATGTTATCTATTTTTATCGGTGTATTTTTATTCTAGTTAATGTTATAGTGCAACATAATACCATGATGTTGAATTATTTTTTATACCTCATCGATATTGAATGTTATTTTTTGGGGTCGTTTCGAAAACACATTCTTCCAGATGGTATTCGTTTCATAACATAACATAACTGATATTATTTTTATTGTTTAAGTTCTCGGGAAATGTTTTGAAACATATTTACTGATGTACGTAGGTACACACTGCCTGTCATTAGCATATTTATACATGCAAACTATTCGTATGTATTCACATATTACTCGATAGCAAACTTAGTAATGTTAAGAATTAACAATGTAAAACATACATGGATTGTGGAAAATACTAACGAAATGTATGAACAAGCACAAAGTCCATTTTTATTGCGTTCCATCAAGCTTGTAAAGAAATTACACTGCATCAACTGAAAAGTTTTACAGCATCTACCCAATGAATTAAACTTTGACCCATGATGAGTTTTTCTTTAGATCGTTAGAATATTACGTATAAAAAAAAAACTTGCAGGTTGAAGAGTTTCTTTAGGTCAAATAATTGAAGTTGTATACAGTTAGTACAATGAAGTTAATTCAAAAATGAGAAGTTGTAAAAAAGGTAGTAAATAAAGATATGGTATAAATTGAAGGATATACGTGGTGTCATGTAACTGCTGGTATAACAGGGTAGAAAGTGATTCTACGTGAAAAAATAAGTCGAAAATATGAAATACAAATATTTCATTTAAGATTTCATGAACGTGTCTATTTGTGGTGGTACTAAGTAGAAACGGAGTGCAATGAACAGACACGTTAGCCGAGTCCTATTTAGGGGTGGGGTCAGGTTCAATATGTATTTACGAATCCGAGTCAATTTCGATAATCAAGTTTCATTTCATGGGTTTCGATCACTTCTCAGAAGTAATAAAGTTTCAGTGAGTATACTTGAAATGTAATCATTTTATACAAGTTTGATGCTGATATAGCTGCGCTGACGTACACCCACGAGCAAAGTCAACTTCCGCTAGGGGAAAAAGTGGCGTAAGAGAAAGGCCTCCTACCGCCTGGTAAATTTATTTCAAGTACCGAAATAAATGTTAGCAGATGCAGATTTATTCTCTATCTTAAATAACCTTAGTATTTAACGTATATATCTATGATTGTATTGCCATGCTAGATAGTACCATGAAACGAGTACTGTGTGATTTTGCAATAAAAAGCGAATCTCATAAAATAATTTTTTCTCATAAAAGTAACGTTAAGTATACGTATCAGTCAAATCGGTGATTTCATGTGCAACGACCTAACATAATTCAAGCTTAACGAATTTTTGCATTAGGAATCACCCTGTTCTCGTTTGTATAATACCACAAACTTTGCTGCACCCTGTGTTATACGACCGATACTACATATGTAGTATTCAGAGATCTTAACCTGCCGAGAAATGAAATTAGCTGGACCACATCTAGTCACGTGAATTGTCGGTGTTGGCTAACAATAAGTTTATGACATCCACAAGACTATTGCGTGACGAAGAACGCGAAGAAAACACATCGAGATATACTGGGATGGAGCGATAACGCTAGCGAGTTGTAGTGTACGTACTCGGCAACTTACGATCTCTACACTATACATAAACTACCGTCCAGAAGTATCCGGAATCCGGACAGTTATATGACGATGCAATTCTGTGAACTATTCCATGACTATTTATAAATATTTTTTATCAGAACTGTCTTTATTGATTTTTATAACTTTATCTTACCAAAAGTGAATATATTGAATTGTTATAGAAGAACGTACGTGTTATTTCTCTGATCGGCGGGCAAAAGAGTATCCATAAGACAGAATTACTAGTTTGGACAGAAATACTTATAATATTAAATATTATATATGTAGGATTCTCGAGGAATGGGGTGATTGATTTTAGACGCTTTACTTATTATATTAGTGTATTTTAGTTAATAGGTTAATAGGTTAACAGGTTTAAACGCTCGCTCTCCCAAAACGCACCGTGATGCACTTTCTTTCCAACCGGCCGCGACTGACTGCCCCGTCGAACTTCCACGCCTCATATACATACTCTTTCACCCCCTTGCATTCGTCTCGCTTGCACTCTGTATCTCGCATCCATAGCTTACATTCGTAAAAACATACACTTCCCTATCGCTCAATTCTAAACACTCTTCGTTCACATCTTCCCAGTCACTCGAGTTTCCCAAACATACCGGCGCCGGTCCGTCGCAACATGATCCGGTCGCCTGCACGCACGCACGCACGCACAACGAACCATTCATCCCACATATATTATAAGTGCTTTCCTGCAAAACTAATAAACCTAAAACTAAAAATTAATTTATTAACAAATAGCATCGATAAAAATACTATGGCTAAAAGGAAGAAGCTGCCTTTTTCTAACTTCTATTAAACTTTTAGAAGTTTGGACGAATATCAGTCATGTAAAACGAAAAAGCTTGATTAGAATCAGTTTCAGTTTAACAGTGCAGGAGATTGCGAACTCAAGTTCTGAAGAAGAATTAATGATAGGAAGGCAGGTAATATTGTTAAATCAACCAACTATTCAATTCGGTAACTAGCAGCAGAAACGTTTTTATTCATGGAAATATCGTTACATTCTAAAATCGACAGTGTACTGTGCCCTGGTACTTGTGGACCATAGTGTATGAGTACAATTGGACTCAGAGTTCGCCGTGCGAAAGTTAATCTAATATTAAATGTCCGATGACTTATGATCGGAAGTGTATGTTAAATATATGATATCATGGCACGAGTTCAACGATATGTAGCATCATGTCGGGAACATTTTCCAGCCCCATTTTAGAGGCACAATTATACGAATATCCATGCTAACTTCAGGTTCCTTTTCACCGAACTACCTTCTTTTATACGATACATTTCTTTGTATCCTCCTTCCGCGGACCCTGAATTAAAATCCCATAAAGACCGAGTCCCTATCCTCGCTGCTGTCTCATTCGAGATGCATGTATCGCCTTTAATTTCCATCCTCATGGTTTATTCATGCCAATCCGTGGACAGTTCCGCTGTGTGTGGAAACGTTTGCGCACGAATCCCTAGGTGGCTGTGCGCGCGCGCATGTGTATATGTGTGTGCACGCGTGCGTACCGAGCATGACGCGACACGAGCTCATCCTGAATCTTTGGTGTGAATGCATCTGGCCGGTACTGACGTTGGCGGTGTGTGCTGTGTGCACCGGACTATCTACAGCGTTATCCTAATTTTTTCAAATCCCTTCGAAATCGATTCAACAGTTTTTAGCGTGTCCGTGTCATGTCCCGTCGTTTACGATTATTACGCGCGAGTGGAGGAATGTTTTTATGTTTTCAATAAAATCGATTCTGTTTCATTTATCTATGTTAAATCAACGATTATTTCGTTGGATTGCTAATGGTGTTTGAATTGAAAAAGTTGGTGCGTATTTAATAATTAATACTTTTGACTGCTATGTAGATTCGGTTTTTTTCTAGTTTTCTGATAGTCTGTATTATAATATCGTAGATATATTGGGTTGACGAAAAAGTTTGTACAGTTTTTAAGCAGAATGACGTAGTCTAGTTGATGGAACCAGTTTTCTACGTTTGATTTCGATACGTGGAGAATATGTGCAATTCCCCGCGTTGTGTAACCAAGATTATCACCGATTAAACACTTCACTTGGTCATTATGAATCTTGTGTGGTTGGCCAGAGCGTGGTGCATCTTGGAGTGAAAAATCCCCGGAACGAAACTTCGCAAACCACTTCTGACATATGCATTCTATTTATAAACATTGCATATATTTTTACAGATTTGCGAAATAGAATTTTTCCGAAATAGAACAACAGAATGTGCCGAAAATTTATAAAACAAACCCAATCTCTAAACTTTCTAGTGAAAATTTAAAATACAAAATTGTAAATTAAAGGCAGTTGCGTTTCATAGTGCTTGAAAACAACTACCGTCAAAAGTTCACGTACTTTTTGGCCAACTTACTTTGATGAAACTTCGTATGTCTGTTAAGCAGTCAAAAATAAGGGATACGTATTTTTTTTTATCGGCTGAGACGCGACTTCAAGGGGTGAAACCACCCCTCGAAGTTTCGACCCGAAAGTACTATCTGGAAAATCAGAAGAGATACATGAAAACTTCTAATGGACGATGTTTGCGGTTTTTTATGTAGAATAATACGGTGGTAACAAATTGCCAAAATATAATTTGTTTGTAACAAAACAATATTTTACAACTATATTTTAGGCTTTTCATACTTCGCACAATTATATTATATAAAATGTCTTTTAAATCTAATTCGGCGCTGTTAATAGGTGTTTCTTTTTTATCCACAGAATTAAAAGCTATGTAAATTTCTGACAGTGCTTTCGAGTGTACCCAAAAAAATGAAAAATCCATTTTTTAATCATTCTATTACCTTAAAATCCATATTTACCCATAAGTACATTATTCTGTGCTTTACGAACCCCTAAACTTCTTCTCTAATTTCATTTAAACTTTAACCAAAGTATTAGAAACTGTTTCTCGCAATCACAAATTGCCTGTAAACATTACTTGTATATAAATCAAATTATCTTGTGTACTTTCGTCTGGAAATAGTTATGTATACCTACGTCTGTACAAGTGCGCACAGAGGACAGCATGTACACGTGGAATGTTCGTTGGCTAACGAACCAAGGCGTTTTCTGAATGCCAAAAGGTTTGGCTATCGTCGTCAGTGGTCTAGTCTCCTCGTTCCTTCTTAATCTTTGCTAACGGAAGTTCTTTACGTTTCCTTCGTGATCCAATAAATAGAGGGAAAGAACGAATCTCGTTTACGAGACACGTTTGAAATGCCTCCCTCTCCGTACAGACAATGTTGTCGTCGTCTGTTTGAATCCTTGTTCTGGCAAAGACAGGGTTTGACTCATCGTTCCAATTTGAAAAGGAAGACAGAGAGTGAGGTAGTCTGTGAGAATTAAACTTCAGTTGCTAATACCGTATCTCGCATGAGAATAGTCTGTAATTCCAACAATTCCGATAACTCTAATTGCTCTAATTGCTGGTTAATTAAAATCACGGTTCTTCATCAAGAAATTACAAGGATTCTGAATTATTTTTCAATTGGTAGTACCCCTTTATAAGATAGAAGTTCCGTAATTTTGAAGCCTCTAATTTACTGAACAAACTTGTAATTCGTAACATCGAGTATATTTAGTGTACGTAAAGAAACTATAGGAGGTTGTATGTTTCCTTCCTTTTCGTTAATGTGGTTATTTATGAAGTAGTTTCGTATGACTACTCACTGAATATTTATTTTCATTTTTAATTTACTACGTTTTATGATGCTAGACTCTGCTTTGTAAACAATAAAAGACAATATTCCTACTTACTCTCATTTAAAGGATTGTGAAATTTCCTAGTTTAGTTACATTGTCGTGTACATTGTACAGAACTACATTTGTTAAATGTTATTTGGGCAATACTGAAGTGTTACAACTAATTATTATTGTAATATAATTTAATAGTGTTTAATTATAAGTAGTGAATTCTCTTTACTGTACTGAACGTAGGTATAAAAAAGCAACCTTTATCATTTTCTTTGCAATTCGGACCAATTGTAACTTTTTCAAATTTTGTTTACACATCATTTAGTAAACTAATGTTTCTAACATCACAAAAGAACTCAAGTCATTTGGATCAATTTTAAAAAAGTTGTTCCGTTTTGAAGGGTGTACGAATACTTTTGTCCCCCACTGTAAGGAAGTTTTCCATGAAGCTAGATAATATGATTAACACATATATCCCTTTCGTCATATACAACATAATTAAATCAGTAACCATAGAAGTAAGACAGTTCGGTTATCATAAAATACATGATTTATGGGAAGGAAAGTATTAAGCACTGAAGCGGTTGAATCAATAATACAGGATATTCCAAGTTTTTATACTACATAGTACGGAGAATTATGTAGTGATTCATTGCAGTCGGATTAAATGCATTTAAATCGACACGGATTCGTCAACGAGTTATTGATCTCAATTTCGTGAGCATGAAGATAGCTGAAATAAAGTGCTCTAACAGAACCAAATTTATTGTTGAACAACCCAGCAGTTATCTTGTATTTTTTGTAGGTTTAGTAATGTAACTATTTAAGATTTGTATTGGATGTGCTTACTATGTCAGATAGTGAAGGAAACACTTCCTAATAAAATTTGACTGTGGTATTAATTTTTACTACACGTTCCATTAGATTAGTTTTAGCGTTCACTGCCGCTGCTACGATACCGTGGGTTCGTCCCTTCAACGCTAAATGCCCGCTTATCAGACTCGACAGCGCACAAGTCTATTGAGTTCAACAGAGACTTCTCCTTTTTCAATTAATAAAACCATTAACTAAGGAAGTAGGTTTCAATTTAATTTCTGCTCAAAAGATTAAATATTATTCCACGAGAATCTGAGTTTGCATAATTACCCGCAATCTAGAAGAGAAACTACATTCATTTTTTGATCAACCACTATCAGAGAGTCCATCTTTAGCATCCAGTCCCTATGAATCGTAAGTACAAACTCTGATCAAAAAGATCGGGGACTTTATGTATAAACCAATTATTATTAAACTTAATGATAATTCCATAGGTTCACAATGAAAATAATCTCCTTCTGTATTTTTTAAACCTTTGAAGTCTGTTTCTTCAATTTTCCAAGAATAGCTCCTCTTGTAATTTCTTAATTAGTGCGTCTCGTGTGGCAAAACGTCATCATTTTAACTGCCGTTTAAGGCGCGGGAGGAGCATGAAACTTTAAAAGTAATAACTGGGGACGAAATGCGGATCTATGGTTAGGATTGTAAAGATGAAACAGCAAACGGTTTCATATTTGAGTAAAATTGATACGCAGCTTATAAGAGAAAACTATTTGTATTATTATTCGATACACTTAATACGTCGATCCACGAGTCGCATAACTATTGTAACTGCTCCAGTAATGGAAAACAATCGAATCTTACCGAGGGCCTCGCGTCAGGGCACGTATAGTTAACACTAACCATAGACCCATGGTTAGTCCCTATTGAAGATTAATTTAAAAAAATTTTTATCTTTCCTTGCCTTAAACGCGTTCTAAAACCGCGAAGTTTTGCCATGTGAAAGACAATAATTAAGAAATCACAGAAGGAGCTAGACTAGATTCCGGTGTCCGCTTACAAAGTTTTTGGTTAGGTTATTGGGAAATTATCTTCATAGTAATCCTACAAATTACTGTTAAGATTAATAATAAACGTTTTATACATAATGTTCCGGAACTTTTTGATCAGATCTTGTACTTTTAAAGCCTCGTTACGAATCTAACAAAGCCCTCCCGTTTCCAGTTGTAAGACCTCTAACTCTTGGACCCAGTAACGATCGTCTCCACGTGAGTCACGTCTTCCTTTGTCCCCAGGTCGCGGAACTGTGAGCGAGAGCACGGACTACAGCCTCTTCGTCGCTTGTTTCGCTGGCGGGATAACGGCCGTGTGCATTCTGATTTTCGGGATAACTTTGACCTTGTATCGTCGTACCCATCCGGCTCAGACGATGAAGGCGCAGACCGAAGTCGTCCAGTACAGGAGCAAAGAAGATGGGGCGATAGTAGCGCCGATTAACAAAGATTCCAGGGACGAGGTCAAGAGTCAGATGTTCGCCGATATGCCCGACGACGATCCGGATGTGATCCCAAATAAAGTGGACAAGAGACCGGATATATTCGAGCCGAATTACGGGTCCACGAAGCCGGAGAGGACGAAGGATTTCAGCCGCCTGGAGGACCTCGATTATCCGTCACCCTCCTCGGTTTTGCATACAAAAGACACCTGGATCTATCCGAACGGATGCGTGGAGAAAGTGGAAAAAAGTCTGAGTCCGATGCGACCGAGCACGCTCCCGGTTCATCGCACACTCGATATTTACACGAGAAGTTCGCGAGTTCAAGAAAGTTGTATATAGACTAACGGTATTGATTCGCTAGCTTCTTCAGCGTCGCGATCGACGCTGGTTAAACGGACAAATTTTTGTATTCTCTTCTACGATCGACTACGGAATTTCGATACTGACAGTTTCATAGAGACCTGATAATTCTGTTAATTCGATTCTGTTCGTTAACATAGCCTCGATGAATGAAATTATCAGAAAATAATAAACCTCGCGAGGCAGAAAATGTTTGAGACACAAGGAATGCGAAGTATTATGTTCGATGAAATTATCCCAGTACTGATGGATCTGGTTAGGTTTCCGGATTAATTGGAAGAATTGGAAGAATCAATGGCGGTTGTTTATATTCTCCCACGTGGATCCGTCAACATATGCCAAACGCGTCGGATACGATGAAAGACGTTTGTAAATAGACAATAAGTAGTCTTAAGATTCCCTACCGAACTATCAAAGATTTGCTCTTATTTTTCACCTAGATTAAGTCACCGTACTTAAATGTAAAATGAACATCGGACAAAGGACGGTTTCCTTCGCAATCACGGCGGATTCAAGTTGCGTTGTTTGTACATAGAAAATAAGTCTCCTTCCGTGAATATTCTTATACCCCTCGGAAGCTCTCGTACACTCTGTGGTTTCGTGTTTGACGTAAGAAAGTTTGATGTACTGCGAAAATAAACGCGTTTCGCTCGTTGACGTATTACCATGTTTTGTGATTGATTCAATCGTCGAATCATGTAATGTGTATGTAAACGTTTGTATATACGGATAATAAACATGATTGTTTAATAAATTAGGTTGAAATTTGTTTGCACTTGAGAAGAAACCTTCCAGACTCAGTTGTTAATATACGGGTAAGTGTTGATCTAATTATAATTTAATAATATAGAAATTTTCATATCCTTTGCATATTGTGTTAAGGAATACTTACATTATACCTTTAATAATATATTAAGATGCGTTTTATCTTACACATCCTTTTGTAATGTCCTCTTCTACCATTGTACATATCACGCCATTTCTTTTGTTACTTTCTACGAAAACTAAAATATCTATTTTAAATTTCACTTTCCGTTAATTTTTGTTCTATTAAGTTGTTGATTAAATTACTTTATTTATCGAGAAAATAAACAATTTTCCAAACTTTTAAATGTCAGCATATACTGTATAATATTTTCTTTTTACAATATACATAATATCAAGTTTATACGTAAACTGAAGACGTGTTAGAATAAAATTTTTTTGAATTGCTTCGTTATATGAAAAATCGAAAATTAGTTTGAACCATAAGTAGTTTTTACTTATTATTAATTTTTACACACAATTTCATTAAAAAATTGTTCTGTGACCCCAAATAATAAACATAGTTTACCTTATTTGTTATCTACCTTTCAATTTACAAAGTTTGCAAGATTTTTGATCTTTATTTTTAATTACTGTATTCCTAACCCTTTTCGTTATGGTAAGGTAAAGATTATTTCGCAAATCATTGAATAACATTCAGTTATCATACAATCGTGTATGTGTCGTACGATTTTATGGTAATCCTACGTTTGATGTTCCCGGACACAAGTTCACTTCCCATACATTAACCGCATGACGTTGGGGACATCGTTGACTGATTTTGGATGCATCGCGTGCGATTTACTGGGCTGGTAGATATTATTTGTAAGCCGTTTATCCCCCGCTATGAATCTATAGATCTCTCAGAGGTATCTCGCTTAACGGTTAACACCGAGTGCATACCCGGTTCCACAGATCTCGTGTACAGATTTCAATCCACCGGTGGTTGGACGTTACAACAGGGATCCAGAAGATGATGGACAACGATAAATCGCGTTGTTAGGACAACGTTTGGTGAATCTCGTTTCATGCCGTGTGGAAACAAACGGCAGGGAACAGCCGCTTCCTCGAAATCATACAAACTGACCTCTCGGCTTTCACCCGTACAGTTATGAAATAAAATCTAATAAGCCATTTAATCAGTTGCAATGAAAATTCTGTAACTCGTTTATTGACCCAGAAACATAATGTACTTTGTAAAATCTAATTAATATAAATAATGGCCTTATACATATGTAGGATTGGCAGGTATCAAATAAACGAGATTTAGTGTAATAACGAAATAATCAAAATATACTTCAATGAATGCAAATATGTACATCGACCTAGCACGACTGCAGCAAACTTACTGGCGTCTTCGCCTGTATTCGCCTCACGCTTTCGCGTCCGTCGGACGGTTCGATCTTCGTTGTTCTCACGCATCGTGTCACACACAATGTTCCTCGCACACAGTTCGAGATTCGGACACCTATATGATGCAATAACGGAACGCAATTCCTACTTGACCAGTCCACACATATATCGAGTCACTCTCGTGGTGAAGATTTCAAATTAAATCAAGTGAATATGAGTAGTATTAAATAGTTTTTTGCCGGCTGTGATAGCTAGAGGCGTGGAAAGGAAAGGAGAGGGAGCGTTTCATTCGCGGACGGGACAATCGTGCAGTGTGCGTGAACATTTTTCGCGGACGGAACAGTCGCGCAGTGTGTGTGGACACATTTCGCGGACTTTGTGTGGTACACGTGCATGTGCGGATTAATTCCATGGATACTCGTGGACAGGACAATTGTTATACGTGACAACTAGAGGGGGCATTAACCCTCTCTACTCGAGAATATTCGTAAGAAGATATTTACATTTCTTGCGAATTTTATCGAGTAATCAGATTTAATGCAATACAATTGGATTCGATTCAAATACCGCGGTCACGAGTTATCGACATCTTCTACGGGGTAAGTAGACAGCTGTTCTACCTACTTTTCCTGCACGTCGTTGAATCTTTAAAGTGACTGTACGTCCCTTACGAACCGTGGTCCGTTGGCACTCCGTGTGTGCGGATTGCCATCATTTGGGTCGACCTTTAAGCGCTTATCATTAACAAACGAAGCATTTGTCGCAATTATGTTATTCTTGATTTTCGTCATATTTTGCCTCAAAGAATTATCCCTTAAATTTTTTCACACTAGTTTCGTACACCCTGTCTATAAAAATTTGTGCGATTTTGTCAGCAATTGAATAGTGTTCCTTGTAAGAGCTAAAACTGTCGGCTGCCGGAATAAGTTTCTATGTGAAACATGCTATCGGTTGAGTGTTATAAAAACGGAATTTCTGTATAGCCCCATACATTGAATAGTAAATACGAATAACCTTGAATCAGAATATCCTGAACGTGGTACGGGTCCAGCCATGCTCCGCAACATTACCCGATTTCTGCGAGTAACCAGTAAACTATTTCCTGGGGGCTTATCAGTAACTCGCGACAGTATTTTCATCGTGAACTCGGCGCTGATATACCGCCCGGCTCTTTCGTTCCCGTTCTGAAATTTATGACGGGCGCCCTAACATTTTGGAGCCTCGTAAATTTTACTCCCTCGCGCCGAACACGAAACGTGTGTTTTCCTTTCAAAAGAACGAATTCAATGATTAGTTGTGGAACTCTGTAACTCTGCCGAACTTCCGAAGACTTCCCGCCGGTGATAATTATTTCCCCTCGTATGGAATCGTTCAGCCGAACCTTCCAGCCGCGTTCGACTTCTGAATCGGGACAACGAATCGCTATGCCGTGCGAATAATATGGTGTGGGGCGGCGAGGGTGGAGGGGGCGGGGGGTGCGAAAAATATTTCCAGAGCCGTTAGGTCGAAAAAGTATTCAACGATCGTTGATTTGGAAATTTAATAAAGAGAGTGGGAGAACGGGTGAGAAAACTGGGCAAAGACCCGTGTCCGTTCTCTCGCTTTATCTCCGTTTCGATTTCGCCGCCTTCTCCGTTTTGCCGAATTCGCCCCGGCCTGTCGTCCCGTGGATCGTACACATCGGTCATTCTAGCGGAAGACTAATAACCGCATTAAAAATTTAATTATAAATTGTACCTAGTGATTCATTCCTGTCACACGCTTATGGATGTAACCTACTTAGGTTACCTGAAATTGGGACAACTAAAATGTTGCATAATTATATGAATTGGTATCTTCATTTCACCATTATTTGAAGTGTTCATGTTTTTGATATCTAGACCTGTTCCTTTTTGTATTTGTTAGTTTTATTTAGTTTGCCTACGTCAATCACAATAGTTTTGTTAATAATTGTGTTACTTCTTAAGTAATAGCAATGCGACTAACCGAGCCATAAGTTTAATTAAGAAAAGAACCAAGATGACCAATTCGTTGTACATTTATTTAAACGTTTAATTTGAAACAATTAAGTGTATGACAAATCAATCATTTGAAAATAATTTATTCATCGTATAGAATTTTGGGATTTCTTTTCATAGGCGTTCATTTTAATTAAATTAATTTGTTATTTTCCTTTCATTTTCATTTTAATTATTTGTCACCTTGTTTCGATATTTCTGTTTTAAATAAAAAGTGCCCGATCTTATCCCATAATTTTACGTTTTTCTGTCACATGTAAATTTGCTTTAAGGGAAATGCATACACATATTCAAAATAAAAATAACAGATGAATCAACAAGTAAATTTAGTGGAAATAAAGACAAAGAAAATGGTGTTGTGCATTTTTCATTAATTGTTTGAGCTTGTTTACTAAATAAATAATATTGATGTGTTAGTATTAAACAAACATATCTATGTTTGAATCCTTTTTGGAAGTTTTCTGTAGTACGCATTTAACTAGTAAATTCACGTCGCCCAACCAAGAGGGATGGGTCTATTACCTGCAGTCCGTGTCCATGACGTGACTTGATACTTTACGTGCAAGAAGTAGTATTTCTTTATACCGAGCACCGAATTTCAATCTGTTTAGACTACAGAGTTAGCATAGAAAACTATTACTAATTCCAACAATGTTCTTCTAAGCCATATATTATATAAGATACAAATTATATACTCTGTCCATTAAATTCTACAGGGTGCCCCACCTAAACTGAACAACTAAATGTCTTCTTTATTTTTAATGATTTCAGAAATGATTCAAACACACTTTGAATGCCTTCAGA